CTGTCTCTAAAATACATTAAGCAGAAAGTTTCTTTGATTTCCGCCAGGCGTTCATACAATCTAGGTTATGTGCCCCATGTGTGTACCTGAGAACTGAGATGTTTCACAAGCTTGTGCAGGTGAGAAAGAAAGGGAGCTAGTAAATGAAATTGTCTGTCGTTTTGAATGGAGTCTGGCCCGCTTAAAGAAAGAGCTGCATGTGAAGCAAACAGTGTATGAGCTTTTCAGGGCGCTAATGAATTCACTGGGACTCGTTAAACAAACAGAGGTGTGTGTTGGTGCTGTAGCACAAAAGGCCTTGAAATTGTTTTCACTTGTTAATTGGCTGAGTCAACATGGAGCTGCCACTTTGTACTTTGTTGCTACATTTGTGAGCCATTTGGAGACCTTCAGCTGTTGCCACTCTTTAATGTCACTTTGGCCAGTGCCTATCCTAGCCTCCTTTTGTTAGTGAGAGTTCCAAGGGGGCTCCATGGGCAGGGTTATAAATTGGTGTAACATGCTGGTGGGTGGGTAAGTCTTTGATGTTGGGTCCACATGGGTGCAGGATGTGGATTTGCTCTGGCTAAATATCACTTTGTAAAAAATTTTTTCTGACACATCTGCCAGGAACATGAAAGAAACACAGCTCTTAGATCCTCATTTGGGGTGCACATTTGTCTCCCAAAGGCTTGTGATAGTGATAAAGGTTTCAGAAAATCCAGAAAGGTGCGATAAATAGTGCCATGTGGGAAAGTGATCAGCTGCTTTTGCCTATAGGAAGATAATTCTCCAGCTTCTTCCCCTCCACTTACTTTGTGTAGGAATTCCATAAATTTTTTTCCCTCTGCCGAGTTTTGCTAAACTTTGCTCCGACATTTCTTTCATGTTGTGATTCAGTTATGGAGGCTAGCCGTGAGAGAATGCATCTGGAACCAATTTGACTCCTCAAAGCAGAAGGGGAAGAGGAGGGGAAGGAGGGAAGTGAACGGCAGCCCTTTTCTTTCCATGTCCACTGTGAGCAGGCATGGGCCTGAGTCCCGCAAACCTAATTATAGTTTTGCGAACACAAGATTAAAGTGCAGCATACACAGTTGAATTTCTTGGCTATCCCATGGTATAGTGATTGTTGAATTGACTATGAAATATTGTGTTTTCCTAAGTGCCAGTGTTTTTTCAAGGCTACATGAAGAAAGGGGAATACACCCAGAGAAATTCTAAAAAGAGCTAGGGTCAGTTCTTTAGTTGTCAGTTTCTCATTTTGGGCAAATGAATCTATGTAAAACTGTGAGGTTTTAGAATAGTCTATAGTGAATCTTACTTTGACTGAGACTGCTGACCCGACCGTGTTCCCTGGAGACTCTGAGTTCAAAGCGCTGTGCTATCTAAGGCAGCATCAGCAGTCTGGTCAGAGTTGAGGTTTACATGCTAGTAAACAGCTTAGGCATTTGCAGAGCAACAGGACCACTCAGAGTGTAGATGTAGCTGCAGATACATTGCACAGTACAGGCTACTCCACCTTAATGATGTAAAGGACCCCCAAATTGATACACATTAGGCCACAGACCCGTATTTAATCAGATACAGTCTCAGGGTTCCCCGCTTTTCAAAAAAAAAAAAAAAAAAACTGTGATGCCTGTTACATTGTTTTTCAGCAGGTTTTTGCAATAAAATGTCGGGGGAAAAGTGAAAATTGTAAAAATAGTTGCAATTATTGCTGTTGTTTTTGTATAATTCATTAAAATTTGAAGGCGGTTTGTTCCATTGAGAATAAAACCACACTATTTGGTCCTACATGTCTGCATCTTCATGACTAGAAACAAGGAAGTCAGTTGGGTGAGTTAGTGCTTCAAGTTTAGCGTGGGAAACTACAGTGATCAGTCAAAAATGCAAGTTGGCGCTGAACTCATGGGGGTGTTTGTTGAATTTGTGTTAATTGTTGTCATCGCAGCTTCATGGAGGCGCTGATTAGGAACAAGTCAAGTTAACTGTTGCATATGTGAATATATCCGGTAAGGGTGTAACAATGCATTGATAAATAAAATAAAAATAAATCTATTAATATTCAGTAGTCCAATATATCAATACAAAGTGTAAACATAATCTTTTGCGTGGAAATATAGAATATGTCATAATAATAATAATGATGATGACGATGATAAAATAAATGTGTAATGTGTAAATTCAAAAAATTATAAAAGTACATTTTTAGAATGGGTTTGAAAGATGGAACAGATTCAGCTAGCCTATTTTCCCCATGCAATATGCAAACAATTCCATTACGAGATAAAATAAATGTACAGTAATATTTTGTGAGTTGATAAATGTGACTGATTGTGTTAATGGGCATATATTATATCGTGTCATATTGATTGCAGGCTTCTGAATTGAATCGAAATTGTATTGTGGCAGATATCGTATTATTGTCCAAAGAATTAACATATTGTATCATCTTGATGAAACTGGTGATTTACACCCCAATACTTGTAGTTGCTGATAACATATTGATGGCAACAGACAGCAAAGTCCACACACAATACCAATATGTCCACATAAGATCCCTCACATAGTTCAATTCAATTCATTTTTATTTGTATAGCGCCAATTCATAACAGAAGTTATCTCAGGACACTTTTCAAATAGAGCAGGTCTAGCCCGAACTCCTTTTAACCATATA